AAAATGCTGCATTACCCAGTAGCCAGAGCTCATTTATGATTGGAATCCATTATTAGATATCCACTTATCAAACTGACGAATTGGTACAAGAATGCGATCGAAAATGTTGGTGTCATATTTTGCTTTTGAATCATGATGTCATCCGTCCTCAAAGTCGTTTTTTTTTTATTCGCGAAGCGATGTCCTATGCAATCGTTTTTTTGCCGGAAGTAATGAATTTTGCCCTGGTGAGGACATGTGAACTACCTTATGTTGTACCTACAAATTTAAGAGTTGCCGTAAAATCGTATTGCGAAACACTGATTGTACATATTTTTTATTCGATCAGAGACAGTTTCATGACGGAGAAAAACACGAATAAGTGAATAAGTCTATGTTACTAAATATAGCACTTTTTCTGAGCCCGGACAGGCGTGTTTTACGCGGCGCCCTGAATGGACCATATAATTTAAAGGGCCACTATATATTATAAGCATTGTCAGTTTTCCTTTAGGATTATCAATACAGTTTAAAGTACTGTCAGCTTATTTTTGAAAATAATGTGTACGAAGAAGATGTCGCAATATCCACCTCATTGGAAATAAAACCAGAGATCAAATTGACTATTAAATGCTGTCAATCAATCGATCAATCAATTAGACATCAGATCATAAAAATCAAATGATCCGTCGACAAATTTCAGGATGGCAGCTAGGATTTCAATTATAAGTATACTTGATGATGCATGCGCTATCGCACTTATTTTCATAACTAAAAAAAAGCAGAAAATATTGCGAAAACAATATTGTGTAGCCTATTACCTGTCGTGCTTGCAGCATTATATACTTTTCACGTTCTGTCAAGTGCTGATAAGAAAACAATTATTTATTTTGGAATGGAAAATGATACAGGCCTCTCCTCCACTTAGCCCCTATCTATCCTCCCCTTCCAGATATGTGCTAAATTAGGAATGGAATGCAAAAGTTACAAGTCTCAAAGCGATCTCGCAAATGAATCCCCATTGTTCAACAATTTATTTACTTTTAGAACCTAAAACCCCAACTTGGTTTTATATCATTTATTTGATTTGACAACTATGTATATTCTAAGTATGTTTAACTCAGAAGAATCCTTTAAAAAGTGATAATGTTATGCGGACCTTTCAGTTATTATGCATGAATACTTATTTAGAAATTATTGGCATGTCAAAGATATCACATCTGTTAATCAGGTGTTGTGTACACACAGGTATACTGGTCAGGTAGCTCTAATTTATCACTGTAATTCCGGAATACTGGTACGGAATCCGGCTTTGTTTTTAATTCCGGATCTCCTGTCCGGAGACCGGCTTCTTTTGTCAATTTTATTAGTTGCGAGGTTGTTGTTTCCGGTGAATAAAGTGGAGGGAAACACATGTTCTTGTCAGCGTACTCTTTGTATTATAAACGTACGGATCAACGCCTCATTATCACTGCAGGCGAGTTCCCCAAACTCAGAACGTTGACCCAACACAGGAACGTACTGATCGGAGATATGGATAGGGTTATCTACATTAAAACAGACATATAATACCATTTCATACCAGAGAGTGTTTTTCTCCTGCCCGCACAACTCCAACAGCCCAGGGTGGATGTTGCGGTATTTGAGCTGTAGCATTCAAGTGAGGGGGCACTATAAATGATACATTAGAAGCACTGTCCAACTAAAAACATAACACAATACATCTACAACACACACGCAGGCATGCACACATAGGGAGATACTAGCCTAGTGGCATATAACTAGTAGTTAGCGCCTGATAGGCAACTCTTGCGAATTCTTCCAAACATTATTGATTAATGTACATATTAATTGTGTTGATTGTGTAAATTGTATGTCTATGTACCAAGAAAGTTAGGTGGGGTCGATGTTTCGACATCGAGAGTTTTCCTCCCTTCGTATATATCATTATTTGGGGATGACATTTTTACCGGATGTCGATCTAAACTCCTAAAACGTGTAAAATTACTCTGAACACCTAGTTTAGGTTCAAATATAGCTGTAACAAATTAGCAGGTCCCTGTGTCCTAGCAGTTATATCCAAATACACGATTACCCACAACGAAGTGGGACAGGGGTCTTTATGTAGATTCTTGCAGAAAGAAACGATGAAGCCGTCTAGAAATAACCGTATACCAAGGCATCAACAACGGAAGGTGCCCTTTCGGAGACATTGACGTGGCCTGTAGACAGACAACTCCTCTGTTACAGTATCCTGGTATTGCTGAAATTTTCTCATCGGTTCTTATAACCGATTTTTTTAAGCGCAACATCTTTTGTACAGTATTCTGAATCGTATTTTAGACTAGAATACAGGAAATATAAGGTACGTTTCAGAAGTAGATACAATGTACCCAACAGGATCAAGATGGCTTCACGAGGGTGGTGAAGCGGTGAAAGTCCAGACAGTTATTAGAGAAAAACGAACCCACACACCTTCACATTACCAGGCGTACGGCATAAAACTCTACCGGTACCTCATTGTATGTACGTCTAGTGACTCTACTCACCATGTCTGTTTTGACATCGACAGCAGAGAACCTCTCAGTGCGATGTGAAAGGTTCCGAACGACTTTCTGAACTACAAGTGATTCCCATATTAAGAGAGCTAGGCCTGGATCTCGCTAAGCTTGTGACAACATTTGCTTTACCTGTGAAACCTGAAATGGGTTTGCTTTAAACCAAAACAAAATGTCAATCTGGTTTTTGTCTTGTTTAGCAAATATCCATTCGTAGTCTGCTGGTCTAGGCAGAATGATTTGTCATTTTACCGTAGTATATTTCCGTAGTGTTTTTTGTTATTTCCAGGCAAATTGTCAAATAGTTCTATTTTTCGGAATCAAGCTTGATCATAAGATATTACTGTAATTATTTTAGACGAGCTGGTTACAACATATATAAATACTTTGGCAAGCAATCCGTGAGCGTCATGGCAACCATATATACTCACCAGGATATCCTGGATATGCTTTTATGATTGTTTACATAAGTTTAAAAGATAGGTATGATATAAACAGAACGAGTATACCGTGAAGTAACATTACGATGTACACAACGTTTTGTAGAAACTCTAGCTCTGTCGTAAATGTTTCTTGTGTCCAAAGGGAGGTAACTGTTATAAAATGAATGTACTCCGCCTAAACGAGATACATGTAGCTAATCAGTAGTAATTTGATTGATATTATAGAAAAGGGTAATTGTTTAATTGGGTCCCCATATACTTGGTGTGATGAGAAGAGAAAAATTCAGAAAGAAAAACTTTTTATACAGAATTCACTTTATACACCACTTCAAACTAACTGTCTCGTATTTGTATTCCATCACTCAATTGTCTCGGTATGACGACTAAGCTTGTTGCTATAATTTTAGTGCCTCTATGAGGCTCTCATATAATATATCATGCATACTGTCGTTGTTAATCATGTCGTCAAAACTAGTCAGTGAACAGTTTTACATGGAGAGTGTTTAAACCATGCACCTTTTCACAGTTGTGGGTCAGACAACATGATATTGTTATGAGAACACAATATACCCGCTGTTTAACATTATCTGAAGTAGGCATATTTTATATCACTGTGGATAAGTGGCGGACCAAAAGGGTTTTCTGAGATCCTGACTCTTTGTTACTTGTTCGTTATTCACTTTGCCTGTTTGGAAATCCCTAAGAGAATTCCTCTCCTCAGAAAGATTTCTGGATCCGTCTCTGTAAACGTTTGGACAAGTACACATGGTAACAGATACATATACTATGAAGTACCTTCCTCGGATTAACACATTTGGTAACAGTTCTATCGGGTAATACTAAATGTCAATAGTACCGTACCACACATAGTTAATATCGCAACACACTTCGAAATAACATTTCACATAATATTTACAAAAATGTACTTATCGCACGTGCATGTATTTATTGCACACGCGTGTATAAACATTATCAAAGACTTAACATACATATGTGTACAAACAAATAAAACGGAATTAACCTATATACAAACATAATAAGATATTGTGAACGGTCAAATGTTCTTTTTGAGACCCAGCTGTATCAATATATGATATTGTCTAAACTGAAGCGGCTGTTCATCATCATATACATGTATATATATGTACATTTTTTTCAATACAATTCTTTAACTTTTCTGGTATAAACGGCACATTTTCGCAGTGGATTTGTATTAACGTACAGAATTAGTATGCAGCGTGGAAACTGATAATAAACATTTTTCTATTGTTCAAAGGGAGATAAATGCTGAACATTATACATGTAAATTAAAAGGGCAATTTAGCAAAGAAAGTTTTTTTTTATAATTTTATTTTAAAATTCTTCTTGGTAATATAGTTTGATACTAGATATTAAAAAGTCGTGCCGAGAAATTGACAGGAAACTATGTTTTTCGAAGTTCCTAATCTGTAATGAAGAAATCCTAAGTTGTGCAACCATACGTTTCAGCGGCAGCTGTCTGTGAACTTCTTAATAACATATATGTCTTTCCAGAAGAGGAGAAAATGTAAATTTTCGCTTAATTCAGCTAACTTTTTTGGAACATAAGTTAGTACCGGCATTTATTTTGAATTAAAAGCATGTTCCAAAAAATCTTCTAAATAGCCCCCTAACGCAAACAAAATAAATCTATTATGTCTTCATAACGACGTGGTAAGTCTTATACACAAGATATATATGGCTTTATTATGTAATCGTAGATATTTTCATTTTTTTTATTATTATAAATATTCAGGAAGGTACATGTACATGTGACCAAGAGATAAGAGAAGAAGACATCTTTACAGGGAAGTCGTAGCATTAGTGCAAGTAAATTCACTTGATAGAGTATACACTGAATGCCAGATGTCCTGGTTTAGAAAATATGTACCCTACAACCTTCAATGTTGTTATTCTTGTTTGAAAAAAAGTCGTTTTGACTACTCAGCTTTTCACTAATACACCCTACATAACACTGTAGTCACACACGTAGGGACAACCGTCCGTGTTGATACAAGACAGACCTGTGAACGATTTTCTCTATACAGAAAGTCTGTGTTTACTGTGTTACAAATCGTCACAGATCAGTAAACTTGCTATTTCAGATTGCGCAAACGTTTTTGTATAGAATTATATCAGACAGACATGTAATACAATATTGTATTGGATATTATGTGACAAAACCTGGGAAACGTGCAAGAACGTAAGGTTATCGGCGTCTTAACAAACGAGTCTTACGAATGTGTAAACACCGTGAATACATGTCCCTGTGCAACGTACCCTAGACCTGTATGAACTTCCTGGTTGGTGAGATAATGTACAGACAAGGTGTTTGACGTTATAGCCGACCAGACATGGGATTTTACCGGTACCTGCTGGTCATCTGGTCAGTAGTGTGGACGCTGAAGGTGGTTAACGCATCAGGTGAGATCTCGTACTGTTGGTATACGTACAAGTATGTAGTTATGACAACACTGAACCCTCGTATGTATGATCATTAAGGGACGAGTGCTACTCTGATATGATAACGTGTACGAAGATTCTTTTAAATGGTTAAAACTTTTTTGGGATTATCAAAATAGAGATATTAGCTGAGCCAAAGCTGTTTTATATGAATACAGGTATAATAACCATGACCTACGTGTATAAGTTTGATGTAACGCTTGGGTGATTTTATATTGTGTTGCACATTTACACTGGGAATGACACCGGGGGCTGGATTTGGGTATGTGTGTGTTGCAATCACAGTATTATATGTAGATAAAACGTTCGTACAAATGGTGTGTTCTCCTTTCTCCCACTTTTTAAAAAAAATATAGAGGCAGTAATGTTGTGATAGCAGTTATAGTCTGTTTCATCACGGAATTAGATTAGATTGTTATCTAAGTCCGTGGTTTCATATATATTTTACCTGGTTTTTACCACATTACCTGTATCATATATACAGTACTGTCATAATACATGGAGCTTTGATGTAGTCTATTTTCATCATTTTTAGCCTTTTTTTTCTTATCATAAACCATTTTCATTATTATATTTTCTCATAAATTGCTTGCTAAAATTAGTTCTATTTTATGAAATATATATAACACATAACTGTGAATGTATAGTAAAAATGTATAAAATTGACTTAATATGAAAATAATAAAAGCAGGTTTTCAGTTAATGTATTTTGATGTGTTTTTATTAAGTAATAACTGGAATCTTGTATATATTTATTCATAATTCCAGTTAGTATTAAGAAAATCAGGAAATATGTTCGTTAAATATTCCTATAACTAACACAGTATTTCCTATTGGTGAACAGGTAAATACAGGTAAATAATCTACCTGTACTATACCAGAACAGACTATCATGACACCTCTATTGTTTTCTAGTGTTTATATAATTCCTTTGATCAGAAAAAAGGTACAAATACATGGCTATCATATTCCCCATTTAAAGAATGATGAAATATTGGTTTAAGATCTTAAAATCTTAAAATTGTATCAAATCCACTTCCTATAGATTTTTATCAAAATGTTGTAGTAAAAATGATTTCAACTGGCTAATGCAGTAAGAGATGAATTGAATAATCTAGGTCTTAGTGATTTTTGGTTAAATCCATGTATTTCTCAGCAAAGTGTGTTATTACCATTGATAAAACAAAGAATTTTTGATTAAGGCATACAATCTCTAAGGGCCTCAATGGAAAACTCTCCAAAATGTTTATTGTATAAAAATATCATTGATTTTGGAGAATCATTACAATTTTACCTCACAAAATATATACCAATGGAATATCGCATTTGTTTAACTCGAATCCGTACATCTACACCTTCTTTGGCTGTAGAAGTTGGAAGGTATAATAATATACCTAGAGAACGTAGATATTGTAAACAGTGTAACTCTCCGTCTGAAGTAGAGGACGAATTTCATTTTTTATTAGTCTGTTCTATTATCAAAAGCTATTATTGGAAAAAAAACATCTGTGTTTAAAGCCGTTCAGTTATTGAGTGTCCATAATATTAAAGAATTGTGTATACTAGGAAAATTCATCTATGAGGCAAACAAATTAAGGGTATTATAATGGAATATGATTGTCTTCATTCTCTGTACATTGTCCATAATTTGTGTATAATATGTATTATATACTGATGGGTCAATGGCCTAAAGTTCGAAAAAAACGTGAATATAATACTCATTAATACAATGTCTATACTATCATATCAGACAAAACGCCTCTCTACCTCTGTCCCCTCATAAGGATTGTATTTGTGTATCTACTTAATTGTAGTTCTTGCTGGTGACAATTTTGGCGGATGTTCCTTCACTTTAAATTTTCACTTGTCCCTGTGACATTAAATCGCTTGAACGTTTGTGGTGTGTTTGATTTGACAGAACTTGAACACTTATTAAACCAATGCGTATCAATACCAACTTTCCCTTATCGCCCCTACCTTCCTCTCCCCCCTCCTTGTCCTATCTGTTCCCTTTCAGTCTTATCTCTTACAAATCAATCATCCCACTTTTATATAGCGACCTACAATGTCTGACCTTGTGTGTGTGTGTGTGTGTGTGTGTGTTTAATTTCTTACGAGATATTGAGACAGCTGGAGAACACATAAAAGATGAAGATCTTTAAATTAATACCGTGCACGTGTGTATTTGATCTATTAGGAAATGTCTACCCTTTATAATGGAGACGTAATGACAAAAATGTGTTCATAAGTCTAAATTTACTAAATTAACATTCAGTAACTGCTACTAAATATCTGGGAACCAATCACAACTAACTTGCGTCCTGAATACATTTCACGACAAATCCAACTAAATATCAGTTAGAAGTTCAACCCGAAATTTCTCTCATTTTTCATTCGGGCTATGTAAGGAGCAGGATGACAACTACATCAGCTAGCTCCACGGTCAATTTAAAAGACCCGGATTTACTTTCATTATGACAAAGATATGATTTTGATAGCATTGTGTTATCTGAATACATTTCACGACAAATCCAACTAAATATCAGTTAGAAGTTCAACCCGAAATTTCTCTCATTTTTCATTCGGGCTATGTAAGGAGCAGGATGACAACTACATCAGCTAGCTCCACGGTCAATTTAAAAGACCCGAATTTACTTTCATTATGACAAAGATATGATTTTGATGGCATTGTGTTATCTCAGGCATACCAGGAAAATGAAAAAGAAAGTGATTTAGCATTTGATGGTATTTCCGAACTGTCGCTGACTCAGTGTTTCTAAATACTGTGTACCTGTCGCTTCTTCAAACAAATTGTCTGAGCTGATTGGACACGGGAAATTTGAATTAGAATTACCAGAAACGGAACTTTCTAAATTCGAAAACAGTCGTTTCGTGACAGCATTATCTTCCCAGCAAATGAAAGGGCTTATTGGACAGCTTGAAAAAGAATACAGTTTAGGCGAGGGGTGTATTTGAAAGTTTGGCCAAATTTGAAATAGAACTGGTGATGAAGTGATGCCGGGATTTCTTGAAATGGCTTGTGAACAAATGAATAAGTTCCTGTCAAGATTCGTCATGGAAAGGAAGAAGAAAGACGGGAACCCTTATCCTCCCCGTTCTCTATACCTTATCATGTGTGGACTTCTCCGTTATTTGATTGTTTGACGTAAATAACAAGAACTACTTGGGCCCGGAAAATCGCTTGTTTAACAGTTTCGGAAAGATGTTGGACGCAATAATGAAAGAACTTCTTTTTTGCGGAAGTTGTTCACATGTTAAAAAAGCCGCGCCTTTAATGCCAGAGGAAGTTATTGGAGACTTTTGGTGTACAACAACTTCCGGTTTTGGATTTATATCGATTTTTTCTACATGCAACTTCAAAGGGAAAGTAGGCAGACCAGGATATAAGACGGAGAAATAAGTCATCGTTTTCCTTTCACACCGACGACAACGATGGCACTGAACATTGCTCATCTTCACTGCTGTGTCTTTGATTAATTCGGTATATTTTACTTGGGCTTCGTCATTGTTAAACATCATATGTCTCGAGAAAACTTATCGCATTTCTCTACCACAAGGGCAATATATACAGGATATTTAATGATTTCATTTCGAATACCATATCCATATATTTTCCTCCGAGTGGGAAGCACGAATGAAAATATCGGTATATTCTATCACTTTTTCAGGTCCATTAATTTATGAAATATAGCCGTTGTATCCAAATTGTGAAATCGTAGCAGATTATTTATTTTGGACATAGACAGTACCATGTTCATCAGCTGCCCCTTTCAGACACCCGATACCTTTATACTTTCCTGCCATCTTACCTATACTAATTCTATACGTCGATGTCTCATTGACAACTTGTTTTCCCGAACCGATAATAATGTTACCTGCCTGATGTTATGTTACCGTGTCATGGTGATAATATTTCAGTGAAATTACGCTTTAAAATGACCTCTAAGTGATCCAATCGAACACTGACTTCATATGACCGTAGTTGTAAGAAGGATTGGAACATCTAACCAAACTGAACCAAACCCTGATGATACCACTGTAGTTTTTTTTTCAATGAAACGACTGTAGCTGATACCTGTATAAATCCTCCCCAAAACAGAGATGAATTATCTACATTGTAGTTAATAATAAATAATAGATAGCTGCACTGCATTTAATGTGTAATGAATTGTGGTGAACGTTTCACGTTCCATTTGTGTATGAAGGGAATACTTTTCTATCTAAAGATTGCTTGGATTTCTCATCAACATTATAGAAATTGAAGGATATTATGTTGAGGTAAAAAAAACACGCAAGACTATGTGATTGAATTTCATATCGATACAGTCCTGCAAATCGCTGATTGAATTCATAACAACCTAAACATATAACAAAATTGGTTTTAGTCATATAAACAACAAGACAAATCATACTCTATTTCAGAAAACATCGCCTCTGGTAAAGCCACAAGTCAAAGTTCTACCCTCGGTGGCTGGGGCAGCTCTAACGCCGTAGACGGATGTGTCGATACATTCATGGGATCGAACTGCTGTACACACACGGCGATAGGACACACCGAGGCCTCTTGGCAGGTAGATCTACAGACACAGTCCGTCATAGAATCCGTGAATATTATATATAGAGGTAAGATTCTGTGGATGGCAACTTGCTAATATCCTATAAATCAACAACTCACATAATTAAACAGTACCCTTTTATGAAGCACACTGATTGGTTTCTTATTATAAAGTACAGACTGTTTCCGAGCAATATTGCCGTTCAATAAAACCGGTAAAGCACATGTACAATAAACATGCAAATGAGTCTTTTCACCGTGGGAATCAGGTCATATTCATACGCAATATAACTTCTACGTTTGTAAACAAAATGGCTGACATAGTTACCGGATGGCAGAGGCAGGGGCGCGGTCAAAAAAGGTTGTTCCAATGGGGTTTGACACATTTCACACTGTATTGGCACATGGCATTGATATAAAGGTAATGGTTCATTTTCCGCGTGATCGGTTAGAGTTGAGTCCCCATAATAGTGGTAAACATAAAATAAGCCTATACAAAAGACGCTGTATGATCGTACTTCAACTCAAGAACTTTCCAGAATTCGTTTTTCGTATCCAGAAGGTTCTTTTTTAAAGTCAAATACATTACGAGATGAACTTACATCTTGTTTGAGACTTTGCCGGTTTCAATTATAATGACAATGTTGTTTGAGTATTTGTTATACTGTATCCACGATTTTTTCCTTGAGCAGCGAGAACGAACAATCCATCCACCAAATTCGAATCATATGGCCCATTCATAAACTTGAACACGTGTATCATATCTCTGCGCAAGTACATGTATGCTAGAGTCGGAAGCTTCAATCGGCATGATATCTCGCTGTAGCATATAATCTTAAATCCGGGGAGTAATTCTGTAGATCTTCTTTGAACGTTCTCTATCCTTTCGATGCCCTTAATTTTGTGTGGACTCCATATCTTGCAGCGTACTGTAAATGAGATCGAACCAGCGCGTTTGAAAGTTTTGAGAACATTTTTCGGCCAAATATACAAATGATCTCCTTATGACACATACACAAATGTACGATGCTGTTAGCAATTATTTATTGGTTGTGGGATATGTGTTATAAAGCTCAAGATTTGGTCTACTACAACCCCTAAATCGTTCTTCGATGCAATGTTTCTAATGCTATAATTTCTCCTCCCTTGTCCGTTAAATGATAACGCGGTTCTCTCTTTTTATGTTTTGTTGACACGGTCATACCTTGGCACTTTTTAGGATGTAAACTTAAAAACCACTTATCCGACCATTTCAGCAAATTGCAGAGGTCATCTTTGATTAAGGTTGCATCGGTATCAAATATTGATATCGAATTAGGAACTTGAAACTTTGAGACATGGTAAATGTATGTATGGAAAAGTGCACAACACTTTTTTTTTATTATTTATATTGCCCGAGGGGCCTGGTCTGGCCGGGGGGTCATAGGGATCAAACCTTTAAAAACAACAGAGTCTTATTGCATATCAAATTAAACATTATCATGAGTTCTACATTTTAATGCAATTTATCTTAACATATGGTGTAAGGGGGGGGGGGGGGGGGGGGGGGNGATAAGCGGTAAAATAACTTGTTCTACACTGTTTAAAGTAGGAACTTAAAAATTTTAGACATGGCAGATATATGTGTTATGTTAAGGGTTACTTTGGGGGGATAGCGGGAGTGTGCCATCGACAATGTATTTTTAGTTTCCTGATCTATAATCTAAGATTGGACATCCTGTAATGGCCCAATTACTATTAGCACTTTTTACAAAAACAATTTTAATAGACGAGCTATGCTGTTCTCCTACAGATCTTGTTTAAAAAGGGCGGTTATATTTGCCATTTTCCATAATTGAGTTACAGTTCGTTCTTGAAGAGAGGTGTTGAAAATAATTGTCAAGTGTTTACATATTGAATTATCTAATTCTTTTGACAATCTAGGATGTACCATATCGAGATTTATTTGGATTAAACTTTAATAGTTCCTTTCTTACACTTTCTTCTGTTATATCACTATCTTGAAATAACAAATTAAGACTCATTGGTTCGTGTAAAGGTACTTCTCCAATAGGTTCTGCTGTAAATACGCTACTGAAAAAGTCTGCCAGGACGTCTGCTTTAACCTGATCCGCTTTGAGTTCACATTTTCCAAAATACCTTTGGGTTTTATTTAGCATCATTGGAAATGCCTTTCTCAATAGTTTGCCTTGATTTCCTCAACCTGCTTTTCACATGGTTGCGACATTTAGTGTACTTTCTGTACTATTCTTCATCTCTAGTTTCCATGTATCTTTGGCAAAATCTTTGTTTTTGCTTGATATTATCCACAACAGTTTTTCCAATGGGAGTACATGTATTTGCCATGCCATGTTTCGACATACAAGCGGATACAGTTTCGAGGAATTGCTCATACATGTGATTAGAATCACCGTTTAGTACGTTTTGCCAATTGACTTCCTTATCCTTCATTATTCTTGGGAAGTCCGCCTTTCTATAATTAGACTTGCAAGTTGATTTATTTAAGTGACTAGTGTTTCCATAGCAAACAAAACTTTACTCGAGGACCAAGTGATCACTATGACCCAGGGGACTCTGATATTTAATATCCGTGACCATTTCGTCTTCGTTAGTTATAATTAGATCTAAAGTACTAGGTTCGTTCCCGATCCTCCATCTTGTATTCTTAACTACATACTGAGATTGTTTTTTATCTCTTTTAAATCCTCATTCATGGCGGATTCCATATTATATTTTCTGGCTCAGCATCGAGGTTCACATTCCTCAAGGACGCTCTCCGAAGAAACGCGCCCGTGTTATCGAAAACAAAAAAGTGCGGACCTCGATGTGTATTGTGATGACATTTTACTTTAATAGTGCACGCGCCACTGTGTCATAATATGTGACGTCACTACTACTTTTGTAAACGCTAGGCCTATTGAATGATATGTTGTTATGATAATTGTTAGAACATTTATAGGTGAAAAGTAACCTAAATTATTATTCGTCAGTCGTCGCTATATAGAGGAACGTATTGAAAACAATTATGTATGACTGTTTCTCGAAATATATAATAAATAGAATCTTACACTCGTGTTCATGTAATATTGAATTAATTAAAATCGTTTAATAAATCCAATATAACATTGTACATGAACACTCGTCTCCGATCTTCTATTTAATATACTGTGACAAAAGCTGCGCCACTAGCTATTCGTCTCAGTCGTATTTGTCAGTGTAATCACAGACTACTGTCCGACCTCCCGGTGATCTCTTCTTCTTTAGCTGCTCCAGTCAGTCACAGGTCAATAGGTCATGTCCTTTCTCTGGAATTACCACCAATATAAATAAATGACTGAAGGCAGTATTAATTTCCAATGCGTATGATTTTTATATTCAAATAATTAATATTTTTACATGTGGTTTTACTCTCTCTCTCTCTCACTGAATCATTCAAGTCTCCACTCTGAATTACCATGTTACAATAACCAATTTTGTTTAACAATACCGAAACCAATATATTAAATAGCAAGTTGTGTTGTGAATTTAAGTTGTATAACAATTATTTACCGTGAATGACTTGAGTAAACAAAGTTTCTCAAAGTAATAGCTAAGTTAGCTAAAATTCTGAGTTATGATTTATTGACTTGCTTATGACTAAATTATAAAGATGTATAGGGAATCATGAGAGTAATCAGTCCGACTAATACTCATATAAAATAACTGATACCTTTATAAATGTTTTGTACGCTTCACTATTGAAGCAAACAATCATAGTAACTCATAAATATTATTGCCATAATTTTCCAAATGATATTCAGTGAATACTAAGCCATAGAAAGCGGTTGTTTAGAACGTTACTGCAGAACATTGCGAAGCACGTACCTGCCTCAACTATTGCATTGTAATGTTGTCCTCATGTCTGTTAACACTGTAACAGTATGCATTTTAGGAATAAATTGGTAGTGAGGTAATCTTATTTTAATTCTTTCTGTCATCACGTGTCTTCTATTGCAGATTATCGTCATTACCCCATAATAAATGAAGAAAAGTCACTTTAAATCGGCAAAAAAATACCAAAAAACATTGACGCTACTACAATGTATCGATGAAACCGCATACAAATGTTGAATTCAGCATATATTACATACTGACCTTATGAACTTTCTGATTCTGGAGTCTTCTAACTTTGAGTTCATGCAGAATGTACAAAATACCATATTCTTAACGTAGATATGTGTCTAAATTGGGCAAGGGTTGTTTTATAGCACTTATTTTGTTATCGATTTTTCACGTGAACATCGAGTAGCTTTGAAGGCAATTATCTGTATTTTTTGATGATATATGCATGTAGTAAAATTATCTTCCTTGTTATTGTGTTACTGTATTATGACAGGGTGAATGATACCTTAAGTATCCCCGTACCACTGCCAAAAACAGTAACTAAGTGTTGGAAAATCATGTAACAAAACACGAGTGAACCATGTGTTGTTGGTCGAGTTGATGTTTGTTTTTGGTAACTTCTTATCCTCGTATCGGTTATAGTGTAGTACGTTCGCTGATGTTCCGTCTCGCTCCCCGTCTCAATCTCCGTCTCGTTCTGTCTATGGAGCTGTACTGAGTTCATTCAAGCCGGAAGCAGTCTCACCTTCGTTATTTATTAATCTAACTAAGCTATTCTTTTTTCACTTTTTATTCTATATGGTATTGCCATAAAAGGTCCAGTCACACAAATGGCGTTATATACTTAAACTGACATATATCCCTATTTCTAATGTCGTTAATGAAAAACAAACCAGGATGTCATATGGATATCAGGTTATTTGACTTACATTGTTTTGCTCGGGTGTTTCACTGTCCTGCCCCGGAAATATCCATGTCCTGACTTTGATATGTTACTGTCCTGGCCCGGATATGTAACTGTTGTGGCCCGAACCCAAGTTTCACGAACGTTCCTTAACTTAAAGAAATCTCCTAACTTACATAAAAAATAACTATTTAGAACAAGTACTTTGTAAACAAGAATAAGTTAGGAATATGGCGATACATATGCAAAAATATTGCATGATACACTTATATGTTTGCTAGCGTGGTAGTGACGTCACGGATGGATTGTCAATCATGTCATGTTTTGAAAGCAAGGTCATATATTCCAACCAAAATCAGCTTCTTATTCGTTCTAAATGCAGAGAAACACGGTTTTCTAATATACTGAACGTTAAATGATACACGGGATTCATATCATTTCACGAACTGAGAAAGGTTAATAACCTTTTATATATAATGAACAATGTTTCATGAAAGTGCACCCCTCGAAGTTTTAGAAAGGAAAATATCTGCTGATACACACAGCACATTGTAAGAGGCAACTACATGTAATGTGGGAACCATCTAAATATTTTCGGATTTTCTTTTGTGCCCTTCTTCCGGGACACAAAGCGACCAAAATGAATTTGAGATTTTGGGACATATACTATTATATTTCGTTTAAACATATTTTATTGCCATAAATTCAGCAAAACGATTGGGCACTCGTAACATGAACATTTTAATCGCCATTTCCTTACAGTTTGTAAAACAGTAATGTACACCATAAGATGGCTAAATATCAATGTAAATATAAAACTATTATAATTGAATGAGTGAATAGAAGAGAGCCACAAATATCAGCATTTAAAAATTTGAAACAAATATTTATTTATGGATCTGTGTTCACACTTATGCTTACACAACCACACACAGGAACTATCGTACCCACTCATATACGCATAATAACCATATACATGCATAACAATTGTGAAGAATCCTTCCCAGGACCGACATCACTAGTGATACATGTATGCTTAGCACTATTCGACACATTTACATTTTTATTGTTCATCACATTCCGTGTCATGTTATCGTTCTCCTGGTATTTCCATGTAGATCCTCGAAAATCCGTTTCCACTGTGCCGTCTGCGTCGGGAAGGGCCCATCACATGCCACTGTGCCGTCTGCGTCGGGAAGGGCCCATCACATGATTGGAATATATATGTATTACGAAATTAAATAGTTGCACACAACCTCACCCGCACTCGCGCGTATATTCTATGGCTTGTATATGAGTGAAAAATGTGAGATAGTTTCAAGCATGTTTCAAAGGAATACTACAAACATACATGTATAATAAGTTATATCAATTGGCAACCTACATAAGGTGTGGAGGGGGATTGGATAAGAAGACGGGTTGGTGAAGAGACAATCATGAGCGGGGAGGGAAAGGGGCATCAGAAGAAGAGTAAGAGAAGAGCCTATAATGAGGGGAAGGGGGCATCAGAAGAAGGGTAAGAGAAGAGCCTATAATGAGGGGAAGGGGGCATCAGAAGAAGGGTTGGAGAAGAGACTATAGTTAGGCAGACGTGACTCAGTTGACGTGCGAGTACTCGACACGAACTGCTGGACATGCATGAATAATTCTTCATTTTCCTCACTCGAGCTGTTTTCACTTCAATATATGATATATATATTCTCTATGCTTTCACAACAGCCTTTTTGTTTCCATCACCCTAGTTGGCAATACCTTACTTTTAGATTTTTGTTGAACGTTTGCTCAATCGGGGAGACAATAAGTTCTGCTCCTTGTCACATCCCATAGTCATAACATAATATACTTGTTTTTCCCCGGAACAGTTTTAGCAGGTAGGGTAATTGCAAAAACTAGTAAACCCGTTGTCAGTATAACGTGATTGAGACTACTGTGATTGGTGCATTCAGCATGATATTTCAATGAGGTATCATCAGCATCAGATCCGCGTTTTCGAATTAAATTGACAGAATATTGCAAATCACTATTATGGACTAAGTATTTTACATAAATGTATGGATTTGAATGTGGGAGGTCGATAAGCTTAAATCTCCAGGAAGCTTACTGAAGCTTAACTTACAAATAGAATACCACTAATAGGGCATCATTAATTCACCTTAATAATATATAAGAGAACGAATGTTACTTTGCCAAGTTAAACTGCACACCACTTACATACCTGCGATTATACAGCATCATCAATAAAAAATAAATGTAGATACATACCATCAGCTTTAATTACGCTTATGAATGATTGATTATGAATCATGTCCACTCTTCATATATGTATCAAATATTCCAGTACAATGACCTACTGAAACTGAAGGTAAATGTTATTAACTGCAGATGAGGGCACACTAAACAGACTCGCCGGTTACGAGATATACCTGTCTAATGCACAAGACTGGACATCAGGAAACAGGTGTCACAAGGACACGACTGCTGCCTTGGCGTCTATGTCCGCGACACAGAACGTACAATGTCCAGGTGTCACCCGGTATCTGACCATCTACAACGACCGTCGAGTAAAAGCCAAACCGTGGTACTCTAATGATGCTATATTGGAGCTGTGTGAGGTACAAGTTAATGGTGAGTTTACTCATATCTTCCACATAACTGAACTATAAGATTTTTTCATTGCAATGTGCCGTAAGACATATACATTCGTGTAAACTAAAAATGCATTGCTACTTTTTACATCAATGTGATTGTTTTTCTTCCACAACCGCTGCAGGTTCATCTCTTTGGATTGTTTGTGTAAACCTGCTAGGAGTCGGTAAACATTTCTTGTTACCCAATTTTGGGTAACACCTCGGGCGTTATTTCACTGGTTGTATTTTTATCATTATGAAGTCAAGTAACAATAAACGATGCGAGGTAAAAAAAACAACTCGCAAACACGTCATGGCAAATTATCTTTGTTATCTAAATCCCAAGTAAATTTTCGATTTGTAAAAGACACTATGTAAACCTCGTGTCTTCAAACAATTTAAAAATTAACCAACTCGAGTTATATAAACATGCTAACTAGCCACCACTAGCTTGATAACCTCTATGTAAAGGCTGAAATGCAGGTGTTACATCTTCGAACTTTATTTTTGAAAAAAGGTAGAAATTCCATCATAATAATGATTACCATCTCCAAGCATTGGAATATAGAAATCAAACACTCAATCGTCGCACACAGTTTGATTAATAAGAGTGAAATCCGTTGCCATTGTCCGTACGATGTGTGGAATTGGATAGCTGAATGGTGAAATTAAGGATATAGAAAGAGTTTTTCGCAAAGTTATTGTAAGCACTGTACGATATTCTGAAAGCGCTTTTCTTGATAAGAAATGAAAATGTAGTCGGTTAGCGCGGAAGATTTTGAAACATACACTGTGATTTGCCGAGATGAATCAGCGTACCAAGTGTGAATATACTGTTTGTTATTGTAACGAATAAACATATACATTTCAAATCGATACATAGGTCAGAGTGACCCAGTGTTCATGCTTGAAATTGCATTTCAAGGAATAAACATCAATATATAAAGACTATTTGTTGTCGACATAACACTTTGTTACAGTAGGAAATCTGACAAAAACAGATTATATGAAAATATTGTATGCAATAAATGTAAATGTATAGTCTATTAGCAGAAAACATATTTTATCCAAATTAGAAAAAAAATGTTAGGAGTCTGGAAAGAACGGTTCGATCTACTACCCCTCTATATTTAAGTATCCAAATGATCACTAAAATAATTCACACACACTTTTAGACTTGATACAAAGGCAACTATGGCATATTTTTGAGAACGCTAAAGTTGTTCGAGATACTTATTATTTATTATTATTTGGAAAAAATGACGTCTAATATACTGTGTACATAAATTATATCTTTATAATAAAATACAAAATACTTACACAGCTATATTTATATTTTGAAGTTGTTTAATGTTTTTTGATAATTAAGCATAAAATAGAACATAATATATATTTCGAACTATACCTTAACTATATATGTAATTACTAGATCTTTCAGGCAAATATATAGGTACACTTTTTATAAATTAATCGAAACAAATCAAATCATTGTGTTGGCTCGATAAAACATCCCCAGAGACGTAGAACCCTAAAATAATAATTTTGACCACAACCAGCCTTGTCATTGTTACAAGTTATAAACCTAAATACAATGTAGTGTAGGTTCCCTTGTCTCTGATCGTAAATTGTGTTTAGGACCTGACACGGCACTTAACTTTATTACGGTTGCTCCTTCAGTATAATTTGTTAATGGTTGAAATTGATGTATGCCACAACTATGTGTAAGGAATTTCGCTTTATCTTTGAAATTGATTTAAATAAATCTAAAATTACTCATAATCGAAGAAAATAACGACGGAATTGATGGGTTTAACAATTAGGGAAATTAATATTAGTAATTGTATACCTGATTGATCAGAAATGGTCTAATGAAGTCAACTATGAATGAGGTAATTTTAAGGTCACGTATATACCAAAACATATATCTTGAAGCAACTGTTAGTACTTTCCAAATGTTCATGTCATTAAATGCTTTCTGTAACACGTGGCCATCTGGTGTCCAATAAACAAAAGAAACATATAAGCCATATAGAAAGTAGACCACATTCCTCTGGCATTATCACGTGTTTGATACATGGCGTTACAATACACGTGTCACCGTACAATCAACATAAAGTTGAATGTTAGACTCCAATAATACCGAATTATATATGAAATGAATGTTATTTCCCTTTTATTTTATTCATTTTAATCGTACGAGTGACCTCTTGCTTATGATGTGAAGGCCATTATAAGCATATACGTACAGTAGCATCAGTATTTCACGTCCATAAACCTATAGCGGAAACTCCCTGAGCTATGGATGATACAATTACAATTACAGCTCAAACTATATAGAATTTGAATCTAATATATTTTACTCTACTTGATATTAGACCTGAATGTAAGAGGGACAGTCGAACTACTTTATCGACTCTGCAAAATGAAGCGTTTAAGTAGCATTAACTGCTATTCAGCAGCCCTCATATGTAAAATGTGTTTTATCAACCGTGCTAATTACCAGGTATCCGATACTTTTGCGGTCGGTTAATTTCTAATTCAATGTTGTTACTGAAATTATTACGTCGCTACAACAAAGGATTAGTCCATGCAAACCGAAAATGGATATATCGAAAAACCAAAACGAGCGAAAATGTGATCAAAAAGTTTCCATTACATGGATATCTTCAAAAGAATAGCGTGAAGAAAGATGCAAGTTGTTTTGGAAGGACACTTGTATTTTGTTTCATCGACAACACCCGCAATGAAATACTAGGTAAAATCCATGTTATGCATGTATCACGTAAATAAATTGCATTACATCAGTGCATATGTCTTGAATAAATTCAAAAAAACAAATCCTTCTAAATCATGGACATGTCTTTTACTCACTATGTACGCATACTATTTCTAGAATGTAACTGCCAATATGCATTACTGTCTAATTATATTTCAGGTTGTCCAGTTGGAATGTACGGAAATGGGAATTGCGCTCATGTCTGCATGAACTGTCTCAGCAGTTGTGATACAACATCCGGTTGTGGTACGTATTCTTACATGGTCATTGTGTCTTTCTTTACTACGTGTAAAAACTAACCATATATAGAGTGAATGATTTATTGGATCGTATTGAGGAAAGGGATCCCTCTGTCAATTAGAAAGGGACGTAGCGCGATGTATATAAGCCCTGGTCGTAGCTGTCTCAGCCAGAACCCCGGATAGCGTAGCAAGGTTAAACGATACAGAAACACGACGTCGTTCGAGAATCAGTTCAATTGAGGTTTTGTCTCAAGCCTCGTCAATATGAATATATTAATAAACAGACAAACGCAAGCAAAACAAATTAATATAAGGAGTGAAACTGGTTTAATACAGCCGAAGCATACAATGTACGTAGTGAACTAGAAAGAGAGAACAACCAGAAGTATAACATTTTTGGCATTCTCTCTTTTATGTTCTTAACTGATATGTACATGTTTCTGCCTGATTGTTATCTGTTTCATATGTCTACTATACGTTTCAAACGTATTCTTTGTTAGAATAAAAAGTCAAGGCAAAACGATAAAATGAGGACTTGGAGGGATATTACTTATAATGCGCCATTTTCGGAAAAATATAGATGTTTAACAATTTAACGATCCAAATATAATTAGAACTAGATTATATTATTCACAAAATTTAATCTTTCGGTAGACAGTTCCAATTCAATCTTTATTCTGAAATTCTCTCCATTGAAACTATATTACACTACCAAGGCCAGTTCCGTGTTATGAAACCAAAACACAGGCGTAGTGATATCTCCACGGGACCGACTAACTACCGGATCGCTATTCCCCTCCGCACTAGCAAGCAGATACATGTACTCAAAATAACCCACTATGATTCAATAGTATTTACTGTTTTATGTAAGGCTATTATGAAATGTGAATTTAATTTCTTGATTGATTAAGCTATGAAAATTGTTTCGATACTTTTGTGCTTATTTCAACGACCTACGTTTTTTATTTCCTGAACAAACACCGCGAAATTCGGAATTAAAAATGCATTGTGAACTTAGAAACGAAAATAAAAAAGAATGAAAAATGTTACTACAGTCGAACACCGTTATCTCAAACTCTTTTAACTCGAAGACCCCGTTTATCTCGAACTCTTTTAATTCGAAGACCCCGTTTATCTCGAAGTATTTCTCCGGTCCCGGCCAAGTCTCTTCTTTATCTTAGTAAATAAAACTCTGCTAATTCAAACCCTGAAAAGTCCAACACCTCGGATACCTCGAAGTAAAATATTGGTTTCAATAGCGTTAATCCAACATCAAAACATCGTCTACTTTATAGTGTTCGAATCTCATTTTGTCACTTATTAATTCTTTGATACAAATAAAACGCAACAGTTCGACATCTCGCCAATTCCGTGTTTGTGAACATCTTTTGCGAGTAGACTAAAACGGTAAAATTAATTTACGATAAAGCTTCAGGCTGTAAAATGTACGGACTGTCAAAACTAAGTTGTTTTAATAAAAAACAAACTTCATTAATGTTGACCAACAGTATTTTGTACAAACTGCGAGTCCGTATAATGATCTGTACACCCAAACAGACGACAGTGCAAACCGGAAAATTGGTCACAAAGCGTGATCATGCATAAAAGAGGTCTACAGTTAAAATCACAACCTAAGACAGCTTCACGGGTTCATGTTTGTACAGGAGCCAGTATGGCTTTAAAAGTCGATCGGGAGATTTAAGAACAATACGATACTTGCTGTTGATTACATCGAGTTGAGGAGGTGTCAGGAGTCACATTTAGCTTAATGAATGAATGTGTTACATGTATAATATCATATGTTTGGATGTGTTTTCATTTACAGAATCAACTATGCGTACGCTCCATTACAGTGATTTGTTTTAGACTTGCGCACTTTCATTTCCGCATTGTATAGTACGAGGACGAAGACAGCGGGATAGTTCGATTTTTAAATGTAATACCTCAGAAGTAAAAAATGACAGAGTTGAATATACACATGCAGACATGGAAAGACTTTACCAAGTTATAGACCAGCCAAAAACAACATTTAATCACAAGGCCCGTCCATACTTAATAACGAATTCAAAATATGGTCCAACCGTTTTGATCGCGTTAAACGAAAGTACGTTTTGCAGAAATAACTTACTCTACAGTATTTTTGTGAGCGTATTTATTGTAAAATTACATACCTGTTTTTGTTATATTGATTACGTATATTATTCATCGGTTGATTATACGCATTGGTTATTAATAAAATCAACAACTGTTAGTGCTATGTCCAACAGCATTTCATACCAAATTTATGAACCCGCATAACTCGAACATTCGGATAAAAGTTTTTGCACGATCCCGTCGACTTCGAAATAATGAGCATTCTGTTCCATGTTATGGTCCAATACCACGGAACAGGATTACAGAAAAATATCCTTATACTATCGGTATTCTTATGACTGACAATGTGGTGATGATTTTCATGATATCAATATGACAAGCCGAGGGTAGCTGTGGTTGTAAAAAACAGAATGTATATGTAAAAGTATTATGTCATGAAAAAAAGTTTCTTTTGGATGAAATGTGAACAAAAAGAGATACCGGTATACAATCAAAATAGAAACTACAGTGTAAATCCAGCTTGATAATTTGGTTTTAAACATAAACATTTCGAAGCGTGATTTATTACTTTAAAAACAACATACATGTAGATATGCTTGTTTCATTTCTGTACCTTCAATGGGCTTCTAAATACCATGAAAAGGAAAATGAGAATTATAATATGTTCATAAACTAGCATGTTGACAATTGAACAGTTTATTTATAGATAGATGGTAGTAAAACGGTTTTTGCAAAATGAAAATTATTTTGCATTGGTTTATTGTTCAAAGTGACGGAAGAGTTGTTTTTTTTCTCTGGGAAAAACTAGACAAAACTAGACAGTTCTGTTACTGACAATCCTTATGTTATCCTAAACATTACACTAGATTGTGTACTTGCTGAAATCAAGCAAATGGCTGATGGTAAAGCTACTGGTGTAGACGGTATTTCTGTGAAACTACTGAAATCTACTGGCGATTCTATTGTGTCACCCTTAACCTTTTTGTTTGATATGTCAACTTCAAAAGGTTTTTTTCCTTCTGAGTGGTAAAAGGTCAAGGTCACCCTTATTTTTAAAGCAGGTTATTCTACCTTAGGTAACAATTAAAGACCTGTCTCTGTATTATGTGTCCTCAGTAAGATCTTAGAGAAGCATGTACATTATATAATACATTGTATGATTTTCTTTCACACAGCAAGTTGGTTATAGTGATTGCCAATTTTGATTTCGTCCAAATCATTCTACTGATACAGCTCCATTGAATATTGTAGACAAATAGCTGACAAATACTGATGAAGGTTTCTTAACCGGTGCTGTTTTTATCGACCTTAGCAAGGCATTCGATACTGTTAATCATGCTGTTCTTTTACATAAACTTAAAACTGTTTCTTACCTATTAAACAGATCAAATGCTGTTAGTTATGGTGATGTTATGTCTGATTTTTAACCTATCGATATTGGTGTACCGCAAGGCTCTATACTTGGGCCTCTGCTTTTCATTTGAAACATTAATGATTACCCTAAATGTCTGAAACATTCTACTGTAGTAATGAATGCAGATGACACCTCACAAAGTGTTAGGAACAAAACAGTAGAGCTTTTAGAAAAACAAATGATAGAAGACTTAGAATCTACAATTCAGTTGTTGAGAGAAAACAAACTTAGTCTTAATCTGAACAAAACTCAGTGCATGTTGATTGGATTGTCTCAAAACAAAAGTTATATAAATTTCAACATTACTATTGATAACTTAATTAAAGAAACTGTACACTGTGCAAAACTCCTTGGTGCTTTTGTCGACTGTTTTCTGTCTTGGAAAGACCACATTGACTACATATCAAAGGAAATTTCGAAAAAGATTGGTGTTCTAAAGAGTTGCGACCTTTCATGTCTGATGATGTTCTCTGCAAAGTTTATCAAAGTATAGTTTTCCCACATTTTATCTATTGTTCTGTAGTCTGGAGTGAGGCTAGTAACAAATTATATATTCATAAAATCTCATACTTCAGAAAAGGGCAGTTAGAGTTTTGTTAAATATAAGAGGCGTTTTCCCCCTTCTATTTTGCTTTTTAAACAGTTAAAGAGGCTGCCAATAGAAGATTATTTTATTTTTAAGAAAGCAGTTTTGGCTTACAAAATTTTACATGGGGATACTCCAAGTGTTTTAAGTAATATGTTTACCTATGTCAGGGATATCAGTTTTAGAACTACAATGTTATCAGTTTCAAACAAGTTATATATTTCCACTGCTAGAACTTATTATTCTATGTCAGGGATATCAGTTTTAGAAATACAATGTTATCAGTTTCAAACAAGTTATATATTTCCACTGCTAGAACTTATTATTCTAAACGTTCTTTTGTGTACACATGGTCTGTTTTATTGAATGGATTGAATGTAAATATTAGAAATGCGTGTAGTGTTGCTGCTTTTAAACGCAATACCGACAGGATTTCTTCTCAAAACTTTAGTTTGGTAGCTTTTTTATGATAAAACAACATACTTTTTAAATAAGTATTGTATTTGTGTTTAATATACATGTATTTTAATCTGCAAATGTCTTTCATGTAGCTTATGTGTATTTTTCTGTGATATCTGTAAATATATTGATGCAGGGCCATATTGTAAATTAGACATGTCTAAATATGTATCCCTGGATAAATAAAATATATTATTATTATGAAAACAGTGTTCATTGTCGAACATATCCGATGTATAATAACTTAAACATTATAACGGGCCTTCTGTGCGGTAATAGATATACCTTGTATGCTTATGTATTCTATAGTTGTACATGTTATTTCATCAAATCCAAACTCAAATTTCAGATGATTGTGGTGCTGGATATCATAAAAGTGGTGGAAGTTGCGTTCCATGTCCGTCTAATTGTGTGGGGAATAAATGTGACAGTCTTTCTGGAGCTTGTTCAGGTAAGACATAGTGTCTACGTGTGTAAGTTACACACACGAATATCACACGGATCGTTTTGCTTTGGTCGAATCTTGCATGAACTCTAGAGCTGGGTGCTGAAACATATGATACACATTGCTGATACTATGATAAGTTCTGTTGTCAACAATGACTGTCCTTCAGCTTCTATATGATTTCATGTCAGGTTCTAAGTAGCAGTGCTATAATACCTTTTCAATACAAGCAACGTGCCTCTTTACCATATCAATACTTTTACTAAGATACACAGTATTTGTTATACAATGTTATTCCACCTGACAAATAAAATACTCATTGTAACTTTTTAGATCAGTTTTGAAAAAGACGTATACTTTTGTTTAGAAATGTTATATCCGTGATCAGAATATCACGTGATACAAGGTTGTGTTACGGAAGGTTTCCACATTTTGTTTTATTATAATGATGTACAATGGATTTTTACTGTCAAAAGTGCCGTCGATAATCCTAATGACATGCGAATTAATTTTAACAGCATTTTCTTAAAACAGCAAACGTTCCAGAGTACTACGTTTTGTTTGACATTATATATGACATGCTGTTGATATACATTTTGATGACGTGCTTTTTATTTACACGAAATGTTAATAAAAATACCATGCGGCTAACCTTCGTTCGTTTTAATTATTAGCAGGATAAACTGACATTATTTATTTTTCTAAAAATGCAAAAAAGTTATTACCTTTCCGTTTATATCACACTCAGTGTGATAAACGTTTCAAAGATATAACTCAAAAATGAATTAATTTTTATTTTCCTACGTGACGTAAAGAATTCGATGATGTACAAAATATTACGCATGTCCCTATGGACCTATTGTAATGAAATAATTCGTATCAAATGTTGGTAGGCTTCCTTTTTTATATCGAAAATATTTTGGTAATATACTACTTCAAGAGTGAATTATAAAGTCGTTAATCATACCAAGTGACATAATAGATCTTTATCAATTAGGCTGAAAACATGTGTATTGTGTTAACATTACTTCTGACTCAGTCGAACAGTTAGTCGTTATTCGTTGGATTCTGCGCTCATGGCATCTCATTAATTCCCTTATGCATGATAATAGCATGGCTTCAACCTGCGCCTGATAAGATAAGTAGCAGTCGGTAAAATGCGTCGCAAGCTTATAATTGGCATAAAAAAGTCATTGCAACTTAATACATTTTTAAACCAATACACTTATCATATTTATGAAAGTGTTTTCTTTCGGAAAATAATGGAATTCTTTACACATATTAACCTGATAATACTGTAAAAATGAAAGTTTTCGCGGTGTTGCAGTGTTGGAATTTTTTTGCGCATCGAGCAAATAAGCACAAAAATATCAACAAACGGATATTTATTTGCAGATTATATAAATTTGCAATAAAATATTTGATGATAAAAAAATATTTCATGTTCATTTTCAATTTCAACACACCCAAACGATAACAATTGGTTTCCGGATAAATATATTGCACAGTCGGATTTCAGGAATTGTAGAATGGATGACATGAAAAAGATGTGAAAGTGAATCTTTCACTCGAAATACAGTGATTTATGTCATATCTTAAACATGTTTAAGTTGTTTTCGGTAAGTAGTATTTTAACATGTTTAAGATATGACATAACTTACTGTATTTTGAGTGAAAGATTCACTTTCACATCTTTTTCAAGACAACATTATCTTTAAATTAACATTTCTAATAAATGCGATGTCTGATTGAATCACTGTTCATGTTAATCGGGGAAGCATTTCAGTGAAACATTTGTATGTCATTGTTGCTTGGGATAACATGCCTTTCAAACTTAACACCGAAACAATGGTGACAAACACAGATGCATCTTATGAATAACGTTTCATTTTTCATTCGTAATTGTACTTTAATTGAACGACAGATGTCGTGTAAGGTGGTGACATGTTTAACGAAGTTTCATAATTTTTACAGACGGCTGCAATGCGGGATTTACAGGCATGTGGTGCAGATGTCCAGTAAATTGTAAGGACACAAGCTGTCCTACTGGCCAGTGTACAGGTAACTCGTTATGTCTTTGTACGACAAATGATAGGATAAGATTTCCAATCTTTATCATTCGTTATGATGAACAGATTACAGGATAAATTTCAGAAATGTGAATTACAAAACAAAAGCTTTTTGATTTTTAAGTTCTATGGTTGCAATATTCAGTCTAGCTAGTTGTAACAGTGGAAGGATCGTAATTTCCCGATATGCCGTATGCGCAACATGTGCGCACGGTTTGGAAACGACGTGTGCGTAGTGGGCGCACCATCTGATAACAATAAAAACCTAGGTTAAGATGGCTGGGTATCAGCACCTGGGTGTTCAGTAGACACACGATGTGCGATAGCAGTTGTGGTTGAAATCAATTTGAAAAACATTTCCTTATTTACCCTGTATAATCATGATTTTAAAGTGTGTTTTCATAATTTATTTGAATCAATAAAACCTATATCATCATCATCATCATCATCATCATCATCATCATTTAAGAGTGTGCTACCATAGTTTCATATTCACCTATAAGCTTATTAATCTACACTATTTTAACGATCTAAATCAACAATTCTACAAAACACAGGTCACATACACGTTTACAGATAAACCTAGCCGCCTTGTATCTGATCAGTTTCTTGCCAAAGTGTGAAAATGCCAGGTGTCACAAACGGACATTTTCGTTAAGTTTCCTTTTTTCTTTTTCAAGCGTAGGATCTAGCATTTTTAAATTAAAAACAAAAAAATACTGTAACAAAAACTCAAACGGAAAGGCGAAATCAATATTTGAAAAAAATAACAATTTATTTAATTACTAATTCCGGAATAAGTAAAAAAATCAAGGCGTTAATACTGGGGCATACATGCAGAGGTCTAAATATACCGATAATGCAAACTGATTTGCATTCCAATTTAAGTTATTAAAACTGAACGCCATATAGTTCTGCAAATTATGAACCGAATTCAGTTATCTTTTATCTTTAAACCTTTTTACACCAATGACGCAACAAGTGTTTTCAACCTATGACATCACTCTTGCTGGCCTGAATGGAAGTGTATAGGAGACATTTTGGGGAAGGACTCCGGGTTACTCCGAGAAAACGCACGTGATCGGGCAGGTGACCAAATTCTTTTTCACGTCTGATTAGGGAGTTGACCCCAAACCATATTAGTGAAAAGCTAGAACGCTTTCCTCTGTGCCACTTGATAACTATTTTATCTTGCTGGAATGTATCATCAGAATTTAAATTACTTTATTCATCCTCGATAATCCGGGGGTTACGTTCACTTTCAAAAATGAGCAAAATTGAAGGCACGTGGTTCGATAATTTATCGCTAAAATGGTATCAGCTAAAATTCACATGACCAATCGGTAGGCTGAAACATGTCCTTTGAAGATTATGGTAGAGCGACACCGGACTTCAAATACAGTTAATGTTATCGCTATGCGACCACGATAGTCTTTTGGTGTACATCAAAGGAACAAACTAGTCTTTTTATCTTATCCACAAGGTAGCATACGCTGAGCATCTGCTATAAAGATACATTTTTTAGGAGGCACGGTAGTCTATTGGTAGAACGCTGGGCTCGTGACCGAAGGGTTGCTGGTTCGAGTCACGGCACGGCACTGTGTTGTATCTTTGTGCAAGATACTGTACTCCGCTTGTTAGAGTCTACTCAGTTGTAAATGAGTACGTGGTAGGGCAGTGCTAGCATTGTAGAATTCTAGCTGTGACGTCGAAATGGCAGCACCGGCTGTATGCTCCCCAGGGAGTTGATAAAGATAGTGGCTCGTTGCAAAAGCACTATAACCACGGATAATGATTTGTGAACCGCTTTGAGACGACCTATGAACTAGGTTCTGATGAAGCGGTGTATACAAACCTGAAATTATTGTTATTATCATTGATATTTTTGACTCAAAATTTTATGATTAATAATACTTTGCTACCCCCAGCCACCTGGACACTTATCTTAGGTAATATATTAAGTAAGGATGGATTGAAAGGTACATTTCGGCCTAGTCAGGTTTCCGACTCGAGTAGTTACGCTCGGAGTAACCGGTGTACATCTCACGGAAGTTCATATGTATCTTCCGTATGGAAACTGTGTGACATATAGGAATATTGCACTTATATTCAACTATATGATGATACAACAACATCAAGTTGAACAGCAATCGTTACTCCGTTTTTATCCATTTCAACTTTAATTATTTACTTATAATAGTAATAAATGCAAAAAAGTGCGCATTGTTGCATTACGAAAGATGTACATGTATTTTCAGTGCTTTATAAATTGATTTGATTTTCTTTAATCAAAAAGTGACATCGGATTCTATGGGAGTTTTTGTAATCAGCCTTGCCCTGTCACCTGCAAATACAACACTTGTAACAAAGTCAACGGTCATCTCATAAATTAGAAAACTTTCCCTCCATCAAATTATATTACCTTATTACCAATGAGTACGCTATCAACTCTGAAGTGTACAACTGATATAGTTTTTACTTTATGTGTAAGTCAAGTTTTGATATGATAATCATCAAAGCCACCTTACAATAGAAACGGTGACCACATAATTTACATGTAACGTGCACGAGGCAAGTCTATAGGTATACTTAAGTTTAATCAATTGATTGTTAAGATATGTTATTGTACATAAATATATACAACATTGCATATGCTATTCTATGATTTTCAGTGTGAATTATGACGTTTGCCACACTTCTAATTTGTAACACTCTTTCTGATTAGATATCTTGCCGGGGTCCATATTTCTGTAGACTCTTCTCTGCTTGGGTCTATAAATGCACGTGCAAGGGGAGATAACTCAAACTAGAATTTCTCTTCATACATGTAACAACAAAGATAGCATCCGACACACAGATACCATTCCCAAATCCAACACAGGAGTGCATCAAAAAACTTAATAGAACTCTTTTAATTTCATATGGAACTTTAAGTGTGAAAATATTAAAAGAAATATAGTCATTGCTAGTATTAAGGAAGGAGGCCTTAATAAGACACATATTACATCCTTACCATGTTTTTACATAATAGCTTGATACGATTTACCCTACCAGGTGCAACACAATTTGTGAAGAGTAAAAACAATCCTTGTCTATTTTGGCTAATCAATGTATCTAATTAGTACAACCCCATTTATGTTCATTGATAAATACTTCATACTACCTGTATTCACATATTTGACACCCACAAAAACCTGCCAAATGTCCCCCAATCACTCCTTTCATTGAGTTCCGCTTGTCATTTGAAATAATAGATATGTACACACACACAACACTCTACATTAATTTGATTCCTCTCAGACACAGCATTTATCAAATACCATAATCTGAACATGAATTGATATTCAAACGTTTCCTCCAACACCATTTCCCAAGCCCCCAGTTTGGAGCCTATAAGAAACATCCCCGTCAAACCTAGAACACAAAGAGGTCAGATGGAACCCCGCCATATGTCAGACCGGATTTACCTTCACATTCTTTGAGCCGATTCCACAATAATTGTTTTGATTTTAAAGTATTGGTTGTTAAAAACGTAACACATGTTTGTGGTCCAACAAAGTTAATTAGAATGCATAATAAGTAATAAACACATAGTAAATTAGGAATTTAACACCTTTTTGATGTTTAAGCTCACTTGTCCGAAGGGCTAGTCAGCTTATGCCATGGCGCGGCGTCTGTCGTCCGTCCGTCCTGCGTTCGTCGTCCGACGTCCTGCCGTCCGTCGTCGTCCGTCAACTTTTCCTTTGACCGACTTCGTCTGAAGAATGGACAGGCAAATACTCATGACATGGGTGATAGCTTCGTTAGTAAGAGCCCGGCAAAGTTTCAAAACAAAAACGACCTTGACCTACTACCAAGGTCACAGGGGTCAAAAGTGTCAATCACCTCAAACAACTCCTTCTGAAAAATTGAAAGCTTTATAATCTTGATATTTGGCTGGTAGTTTTTCTAGTTAGAGCCCTAATTACTATATTTGGCTGGTAGCTTCCAGGGATGAAGCCTAACACAGTTTGCAAACGAAAATTACCCTGACCCACTTTCGAGGTCACAGGGGTCATATATAACAAACGTATCAAATGATTTCTTCTGAATAATCGAAATGCATAGAATCATATAATTTGGCTAATTGCTTCTTGGGATTGAACCCGGCAATGTTTGCAAATGAAAATGACATCAACCTACTTTAAAGGTCACACGGGACGAATATGTCATACACTTCAAATTATTTCTTCTGAATAATCTAAAGGCATATAATTATAATATTTGGCTGGTAACTGTCACAGATAGAGCCCGACAGATTTGCTATTGAAAATCACTCCAACCTGCTTTCAGGGTCACAGGGGCCAAATATAGCAAAAACTGCAAACAACTTCTTTTGAAGAAGTAAAAGGCATAGATGCGCGGTATTTAACAATCAGCTTCCTTAAAGGGAGCCCAACAAAGTTTGCGAATGATTCAATGTTGTAGAAACCATGCCCCTATCCAAATGGGGACTAGAGATTTGGACCCGATAAGATAAGGGTGTTACTGAGAGACAGAGATAATATTTGGATATATTTGTAGTACAGCATAAATGTATTTAATATTTTACTATGACTGCTTAGCTATCCAGGTGAGCGATGCAGGCCCTCTGTGCCTCTTGTTCACAAATTAGGTTGATAAACTGTACCAAAGCAGGTGCAACCCGATTCGTGACAACTGAAAAAAACATCATTTGTTTGGCTTATTAGCGTATATAGGGCTTGAGAACGCATTTTTGCAATATTTGGGTCTGAAAATTCATTTTTTTATTACAAATATATTCTTTGGAAACCTGTGCCCTTGTAAACCACATTTTTAACTTTTGAACTTGGAATAACGTCTTTAATTTTTCAAAGCCGTCTAAAGCCATTAGTACAGTTTTAATGTTCATTGCATTTTCTATAAATTTGCCAAATGTCAAGCATCAGAAGTAACTAGAATTTACACAATTAACATTTTGAAAATAAACCACCATGCAAACAATTATGACTTTAGCGGAACTTTCAGTCTAAGATTTCATTAACTGCTAATTTTACAAATTATATTTAATGACTGACAATTACAATACACATTCCAAGAATGTTACCAGCATATTATATTCTGGGATGCGTGTCAAACTTCTACATAAACGACTAATTGACAACGCTTTACATATACAACTAGCACGCGCCAAACGTCGTTTACGGGCTACCGTAGATTTTTCACCTGCGCGCACCCACACTAGTACATAAAAACACAATAACCACTCGGGGTTTCCATACAAATTCTACCCGAACAAAACTACGGTTACTAAGTGTAATTTACTTGATTATAACAACGAAATTATTTGTGCATTCTCTTACAATGGTTATACAATATATGTTCCTCATTATTTATTATCAATTACAACGCTACGTGCATATAAACATAAACACCTGCCTTCGATAACAAAAATAGTCACGCATAAATGGACCGCATCGATAGATAGATGGCTTGAACGGTAATATGGTCACAAGAAATATGGCATAAGCAACCATTACAACACATTAAAGGGATAGAAAGACTACTTACCCCAGTCTGCTTTCTGGGCTCTCTACATGGTTTAAATCCTGGTGGAAATGGGTATAAACCTACCCGACAAGTGGACAATAACAATTCCACGTTCGTTCTCACCTGAACGCTAAATCTCCCACACACTTGCTTACTAACATACACACCACGTGACATAATTACACACAGTAATATAATAGGGAAAAATATAAACATATATGCGAACGTGACAACTTCGTCACTTAACTAGCATTCTGGTATGCCTTTAAACATTTGAGACAGACATTTCAAGAGGTTATTAGGTATAATGTAAACTTTGGTAAGTCTTGCTGAATTCCCATATAGACCGACACAAATGTATCAGTGATTTGGTTGATAGGCAGACTGCTACTATTATGATGATGGCTTTTCAAGTAAACAGTCATCCAATCAACTCAGTAGGTTACCATAAAACGATTTATATGGTATCTGGCGTCTTCCCGTGGCATATCATACGAGCTAGATGAATATATTATATATTCGAAATATTATATTCTTCTTTACTTCGTATATCTAGTAAATATTTAAAGGCGTAATTTATTTAAATGCTGTAAAATTAAAATTGAAATGTTATTTTTTTAATTTTTATTGGTGACTTATAGGTCAAATCAAAATCATTAAAATATCTGTAAAATTCCTGAAACGAACTTTCAGATGGTAATGCTAAATCAACACTGGTTTGTGGTGTAGGAATATCTTTGTTTATTGCCCTGTGTTAAATATTGACTTTAACCAAAGACGTATCCATGTCTTTATCTTTTTGAGCCACTGTTTGGTATCAATCTTATAGACAAAATAAATACTTTTCAAAAGTGGAATTATCATTTTAATAAGTTATCTTTAAAATACCTTATTAATAGCCTGGTGTACATCATATGGTGTTGTATATGTTTGTATGCTGTTCATAGTACGATTTGTCTGACATATTTACGATCGTAATAATGGAACGTTATTTAAACCAGTAGTATCAATTGCACATAGAATCACGAGCCCGTGTGACTTAGTAAACAATATTTAAAGAATGCCGAAAGCGTTATAGTCAACTATATATTTTCATTTCTCAACACGTTCCATTGGACGTCATATTCGAATCATAGATTATCAAGCAACTTGCTATTCGCTGCTGGAGTCGTTATAATTATTTTTACTCTGAGTTGTACAGACTTAATAAATAGTTTGGCCTTCATCTATAACATGTTGTCAATAACATTATTTTCAGACTGTAACGATGGATACTACGGACCAGCTTGTACACCTTGTCCTAGTGGCTGTAGCCCTGACACTTGTGACAAAACGTCAGGACATTGTGTTCGTAAGTAGTATTCATGGTTAATGATGTTAAAAAAAGGAAACGAAGGGGTTCAGACATTCAAGTTGACATTTGAATCCAGTCAAATTGCATAGCTTGGCGAAATAATCTTTTTTTGTTTTTAAATTTGTTTATAAAAAAATACCTGTTTAAATGAAAACTTTAGTAAGTAATTCTGAAAACGCAAAATGTAAATCAGTACTCTATTATCATGATCAATTGTTTGACTGGAATTTCCCGCCTTTTGTTCATCTAAATCTTTGTGACTATCGATCGACAGATCTTTTATTCTTATGCTAAAATGCAAGCCGATGTTTTGTTATGGACATCGCCCATTTGTCAGAGACCATTGTCTGATGGGTAAATTGAGCTTTCGATATGGCGTGATATCCTGGTATGCACTGGAAACATCAAATATTAGTAGCAAATGAGCGATGCTTGCATAACGGACCTCTTATTAAGGCAAGTTCAAAGGATAATTTGATAAGATAGTTTTTCATTACTTTTTTTGAATTTTAGTGTTCATATATTTTTAATTCCTTCTTTTCAGAATGTGATGCTGGTTTCCATGGCAGTTTTTGTCGCCAACCTTGCTATGTTAACTGTAAAAACAATGTTTGTAACCAGGACAACGGGCAGTGCACAGGTTAGACAAACTACGCTTTTTCAAGAATCGATGCTTTGTTATGTGTTAGCAGAAATGGGATTGTTCATAATGTTCAAACTTTACAAATGCATTTGACATTGAATATTAATAGATTCTTTTTAATTCATGAATTAAGGGTCTAACGCACCTACTCTTCGGTTTTACAGTACTTTATACCTATTAAGATATCAAGGTTTTGGCCACTAGCATCACCGATGATTCCTGAAGGAACGAAACAGCTTGATGATGCTGTGTAATTATGTCTCCCCTTGAATGGAGGGAAACATATTGTGTCAGTTCTGGTTTTTCCTCTTCTTTGGTTTTTTCTGGTTCTTCTAATCGCAACTCGTTCGGGCCATCAATTTTAAACCGTTAATGATTTCTTGATGAAGCTAAATGGATGCATGAATTACCTACAGAATGTGTGCAATGCACTGGAATTAGGTCACTGTGACCTTCACTTCAAGATCAAGGTCAAATAGGAGCAAAACTTTCAGTATTTTTTTGTCCAGACCGTACATATTAAACCGCTAAATATATCTTAATTATACTTGGAAGTATACCTGCATCACCAACAAAAGGGGTGCAGTGCACTAGAAATAGATATAGTGTTCCACAGAGTTATGGCCTTTTCTTTATTGGTAATACCGAAGTTTGTCCGGAGCAAACGTTCCTGTTACTACGTTGACCAAACTTACCATATTTATGTATTTTGGGAAGGTGGAATCTTTCGTACTGAAATCGGGTATTGTGCCCCACTACATACAGAGTCATTGCCTTTTGTTTATTTGTATACCGATGTTTTTCACGTCATCATAGCTGCCGACACTTTACCAAAATTGTTAAGAAAATTTAACATGAACCAGAATAATTTAAAAGTTTAATGGTTTAGATTTCACACACCTTAATCTTGATGTGACTTTTCTATTCTTCCAAATATGCATATTTGCTATTTAGGGGAGACATATGTTTTTGTTCACAGAAACAAATTTCTAGATAATTTTTGGCATTTTGTATCGATTACTCAATCACCTTTGTATATATTACCCTCATCTTATATACTTTATAAAATATATCATCATCGCATTCTTATGGCCATGTGATTTGACAAGTAGGATTCTGGTAGGATGGCTTATCATTTATCAAGTTTATTCAAATAAATACGCTAGTTTTTTAAGATAACATCTATAAGATTAGTTCAGACAATAACACAATCTAATTTTTGATAACTAAAGGGCTAAGGATCATGATAAATTGACGTTTTTTATGATGGGAGACGGACACCAAGAATGGTTACATTGTAATGATTAAGAAATTCAAAATATATATTTGATTATCAAATTAGATACACTAATTAGCCAAAATATATAAAGATTTTTTTCTCTCACTTTTCACGAATTGGGTTGCGCTTGCTAGGGCAAATCATATCAACCCAATATGTGAAAACATGTAAAAATGTTTTAAATTCCTTAGTTACTATCTTTTATTTACTTATTATTTAAAGAAGTTATAATTTGAACAATTCCCACTTATTAGATACATTGATTAGCCAAAATAGACAAGGATTGTTTTTACTCTTCACGAATTGTGTTGCACCTGGTAGGGTAAATCGTATCAACCTAATATGTAAAAACATGGTAAGGATGTAATATGTGTCTTATTAAGGCCTCCTTCCTTAATACTAGCAATGACTATATCTCTTTTAATACTTTCACACTAAAAAGTTCCATATGAAATTAAAAGAGTTCTATTAAGTTTTTTGATGAACTCATGTGTTGGATTTGGGAGACTATTAAATAGGTGAAAAAACATTGGTATTTCAAGTGTAATACGGCCAACCAAAGGGAGGTCTTTATACTTCCACTTTCTTAAAAAAAAGTTGAAGGACCCCAATGCCTTATCTATAGAATTCCATTCAATCGGATCTATGGCCTTTTCGAAACATAACAAATAGTCCAGATTTCTTTTTTCAAACATAAACATTACATCATACAAAAACGTTGTGTTATCATCTGTAAACTTACCTTTTAAAAACCTGTCTGTGTCACACTTATTATACTAAGGAGGGTTTTCTTTAATCCCATTTCTATTGCATCCGACGCTATTTCATAGTCTACATTCAAATGTGACATTGAACATTTGCATAATTTATTGATATGACCAAAAATGATCAAAAATTCACCTGACCCTGGACTTTTGCCTTAGCTAAATCATTAACTAGTAAAACGCTCTCCGTTTTTTTCTTTTTTTCTTTTTGCTGAAGTTTTACTTGTTGCTGGAAAAACTATTATTATATAAATTCATTATTAAGAGTTATTAATAGTGTTGGAATCTGTAAGTCAACTAGTTACCATGTTTTGAAAAAATAAAATTCTGCTGCAAGTATTTCTTCCTAGTTATCTAATACATCCCTATCGACTGTGATTAGTTGTGTTATAGAATTATGAAAAATATGTCTCTTTTCCAAATCAACAAAACATTTTGTCGCTTTTTTCCTATTTTACTACAAATTCGCCGTTGAACTTTGCATTAATCATTCTATCCTATTTTTACGGATTTTTTCTAGAATTTTACTCTCAAATTGTCTATAGATACCATAATTAGGTTTTAAGTTCAATACTTTTTCTAATGTTAATATTTTAGTCTCTAAACTTTCTCTAGTATCCTATTTTGTTTTGCTTGTGCTATTGAATATGTTATAGTGATGGATCTTATTTTCATTTTCAAAATCGAACAATTGTTCGTTTATTCTTAATACTTTATCTTTCATGTTTTCCTGATCAACGCCTACGTAATACTCATCTTTTGTCTCTGTAATGGAGCTTTTGACCCTTTGCATTTATACAATGTCCCCCTGAAGTGCTGTGTTGTGTTTCAAGTATCCTTCCCCCTTTCAGTGATTTTATAATTAACTTTTAAACCATTGCCAGAGTGGTTTGTTGTATATCGCGGTATAATCTTTGAGTCTTTAGTTCGAAATAAGATGTTTTCTGAGACCAAAAAATAATCTAATCTACTCTGTTGTATAGTTATTTTTTCGTCTCCATGTTACATTTCTCAATTCAGGATCAAACTGTCTCAATGAATCAACAAGTTCACTAATATCTATTATATCTCTATCTTTTCCTGAGCTCTTTGATCATAATCAAGTCTTATGTTATGTGTGTCCATATATTTGTCTTATACTGCATTCCAGTCACCACATAACATTAAAGTAGAATTATCGAATACTTTCAAAGTATTAAGTATATTTATTAAAAAGTCTGGGTAATCCTGGTTTGATCCCTATATACTAGCTAGAGTTAGGCAATTGTTATTAATTGTAACATCCATAATGATAAATTTCACTGAATTATCAATTATACTATCATGTAGTGTACATTCAAACGTATTTCTCAGAAACATTGCCACACCCGCTGGTCTTGAATTAAAGTTGCTAAATATTCATTTATATCCCATTTCCCTTTCCAAATTTTTCTTTACTGTTATATCACAGTGTGTTTCTTGAAAACAAACAATATCTGCCTGTTTCTGCTTGACCCAATGAAAAACATATTTACGTTTAGTTTTATCAGAGTACAACCCCCTTATGTTCATTGATAAATACTTCATACTACCTGTATTCACATAGTTGACACCCACAAAAACCTGCCAAACGTCCCCCGATCACTCCATTCATTGATTTCCGCTTGTCATTGGAAATAATAGATATGTACACACACACAACACTGTAGATTAATTTGATTCCTCTCAGACACTGCATTTATCAAATACCATAATATGAACATGAATTGATATTCAAACGTTTCCTCCAACACCATTTACCAAGCCCCCAGTTTGGAGCCTTTAAGAAACATCCCCGTCAAATCTAGAACACAAAGAGGTCAGATGGAACCCCGCCATATGTCAGACCGGATTTACCTTCACATTCTTTGAGCGGATTCCACAATAATTGTTTTGATTTTAAAGTATTAGTTGTTAAAAAGTTACACATGTTTGTGGTCCAACAAAGTTAATTAGAATGCATAATAAGTAATAAACACATAGTAAATTAGGAAATTAACACTTTTTTGATGTTTAAGCTCACCTGTCCGAAGGGCTAGTGAGCTTATGCCATGGCGCGGCGTCCGTCGTCCGTCCGTCCTGCGTCCGTCAACTTTTCCTTTGACCGACTTCGTCTGAAGAATGGACAGTCAAATACTCATGACATGGGTGATAGATTCGTTAGTAAGAGCCCGGCAAAGTTTGAAAACAAAAACGACCTTGACCTACTATCAAGGTCGCAGGGGTCAAAAGTGTCAACAACTCCTTCTGAAAAATTGAAAGCTTTATAATCTATTTAATATTTGGCTGGTAGTTTTTCTAGTTAGAGCCCGACTAAGTTTGAGAAAGAAAAAAAAGCTTGAACTATACTATCAAGGTCACAGGGAACAAATATTTCAAACAACATAAACCTCTTCTCCTGAAGAACTGAAAGGTATGTAATTACTATATTTGGCTGGTAGCTTCCAGGGATGAAGCCTAACACAGTTTGCAAACGAAAATTATCCTGACCCACTTTCGAGGTCACAGGGGTCATATATGACAAACTTATCAAATGACTTCTTCTGAATAATCGAAATGCATAGAATCATATAATTTGGCTAATTGTTTCTTGGGATTGGACCCTGCAATGTTTGCAAATGAAAATGAAATCAACCTACTTTAAAGGTCACACGGGCCGAATATGTCATACACTTCAAATTATTTCTTCTGAATAATCTAAAGGCATATAATTATAATATTTGGCTGGTAACTGTCACAGATAGAGCCCGACAAAATTTGCTATTGAAAATTACTCCAACCTGCTTTCAAGGTCACAGGGGTCAAATATAGCAAAAACTGCAAACAACTTCTTTTGAAGAAGTAAAAGGCATAGATGCGCGGTATTTAACAATCAGCTTCTTTAAAGGGAGCCCAACAAAGTTTGCGAATGATTCAATGTTGTAGAAACCATGCCCCTATCCAAATGGGGACCGGAGATTGGGACCCGATAAGGTAAGGGTGTTACTGAGAGACAGAGATAATATTTGGATATATTTGTATTACAGCATAAATGTATTTAATATTTTACTATGACTGCTTAACTATCCAGGTGAGCGATTCAGCCCTCTGTGCCTCTTGTTCACAAATTAGGTTGATAAACTGTACCCAAGCAGGTGCAACCCGATTCGTGACAACTGAAAAAAACATCTTTTTTTTGGCTTATTAGTGTATATTATCAGTGGGAATGGTTCACATTAAAGCTTCTTTGAATAATAAGTAGTTGACAGATAATAACTAAGAAATTAAAATATTTTTTCATGTTTTCACATATTGGTATGATATGATTTGCCCTAGCAGGTGCAACCCAATTTGTGAAAAGTGAAAATCAAATCTTTGTCTATTTTGGCTAATTAGTGTATCTTATTAGTGAGAATTGTTCACATAATAGTTTCTTTGAATAGTAGATAATTAACACATAGTAACTAAGGAATTCACAACATTTCTTTTTTATGTTTTCACATATTGGGTTGATATGATTTGTCCTATCATATGCAACCGAATTCGTGATAAGTGAGAAAAAAAATCTTAATATTTTTGTGGCTAATTAGCGTATCTATATATTGGGAATTGTACACATAATAGCTTCTTTAAATAATAGATAATCAAATGATAGTAAAAACGAAATTGATAGTTTCTTTGAATAAGTATTAATGAACAGATCGTAACTAAGGAATTTAAACCATATTTTCATGTTAATACATATTGGGTTTATATGATTTGCCCAAGCAGGTGCAACCAAATTCGTGAAAAGTGAAAAATTATCTTGATATTTTTGTGGCTAATCAGCGAATAGTGAAAACAAAATCATAGTTGGTACGTATTTAATGTTCTGACGACAAAATCAATCCATTCCTTATTGCAGATATTTAAAAGACCAGGGCACTTGGTAAAAATAGATATGATTATGTTTGAGGTACAATTTTCCTTCCTTGTTTTCAAGACAAAATGTGTTTGTTTCTGCTGCCTGGTAAAGATTTAAAAGTTTGGAGTGTAACAAGTTTTTGATTTCTATGAGACAAGATTCCCCCGTCGACGTCGAAATAATTCCATCAGGACTAGCTGCCAAAATTGTGTGGATTGGGTGGATGACGAGACCACTAGGTTGAACATGAACATTGACATTTTCTTCAGCATTCTTCAGCTTATATTCTTCTATCGTTGTATTTTCCTGCGAAATTCAATTCTTGCATGACTATTTTCATGGAAGGATGAATAGTGCAAGTTTCTAATCATTTTTCCGACAGGTAATGCTGGGTTACTTTTCACAATTGAGCCGAAATTTGATGCCGTAATTCTTTTTTTTTTTCGTTTGGATTGCCAAAGACCAGATTGAGATTGTGTTACAGTAGAATTTCTAATGTTTGTACACTGTTTCGTTGAGATGTTTATATGCTATGTCAAATAAAGTGATTTCCCTTTTTCCACTTCTTCCGTTGAAACATCGTTAGATACATGTTTGCGTTATTGTATTAAAGTCTTACCACTATCAACACACTATTTCTTACCTGTAAATATATATGGTTATCAAGGAAACGTTAAATTTTCACACTGTTTACTTCGCCGTGATCAAAGATCAACCATTATTCTCCATACCGGAAGTGATGAACCTGAAATAGACCGCATTTTTGCATTGCAGTTATAGTTTTAGATGTATCATTTTCTATATATATTAAGTGACTTTTCATCATATTTTGACTGCTTTAACCTTAAATGATTACATTTCAAGTGTTTTGAATGCAATTTCTGTACTTTGACAAAATTACGAAACTGCGTAGTGATACATATCTACTTTCCATTTCGATAAGTGGAGGGCTCCTCGGAATAATTGGCGAAATAACATTGAAAATGGTCCTTGTGTATGATAAGATTACTAGAGCAATATTCCGTAATAGGTAAGTTTTCATTTGATCCACAATAATCAACGATCAAGCCTCACAGAATTATAAAATAACAAAAATTAGATGTTCACCAATATTTAAAATGGCGGCGTCCATGGCACTTGAAAGAGCATAATAATAACCCATCTCTCACAATATGACCAATCAGCAGTAAGTTTTAATGCTAGCTTGCACTGCATACAGGGCTTGAGAACGCATTTTTGCAATATTTGGGTCTGAAAATTCATTTTTTATTACAACTATATTCTTTGGAAACCTGTGCCCTTGCAAACCACATTTTGAACTTTTGAACTCGGAATAACGTCTTTATTTTTTCAAAGCCGTCTAAAGCCATTAGTACAGTTTTAATGTTCATTGCATTTTCTATAAATTTGCCAAATGTCAAGCATCAGAAGTAACTAGAATTTACACAATTAACATTTTTGAAAATAAACCACCATGCAAACAATTATGACTTTAGCGGAACTTTCAGTCTAAGATTTCATTAACTGCTAATTTTACAAATTATATTTAATGACTGACAATTACAATACACATTCCAAGAATGTTACCAGCATATTATATTCTGAGATGCGTGTCAAACTTCTACATAAACGACTAATTGACAACGCTTTACATATACAACTAGCACGCGCCAAACGTCGTTTACGGGCTACCGTAGATTTTTCACCTGCGCGCACCCACACTAGTACATAAAAACACAATAACCACTCGGGGTTTCCATACAAATTCTACCCGAACAAAACTACGGTTACTAAGTGTAATTTACTTGATTATAACAACGAAATTATTTGTGCATTCTCTTACAATGGTTATACAATATATATTCCTCATTATTTATTATTAATTACAACGCTACGTGCATATAAACACCTGCCTTCGATAACAAAAATAGTCACGCATTAATGGACCGCATCGATAGATAGATGGCTTGAACGGTAATATGGTCACAAGAAATATGGCATAAGCAACCATTACAACAAATTAAAGAAGATAGAAAGACTACTTACCCCAGTCTGCTTTCTGGGCTCTCTACATGGTTTAAATCCTGGTGGAAATGGGTATAAAACTACCCGACAAGTGGACAATAACAATTCCACGTTCGTTCTCACATGAACGCTAAATCTCCCACACACTTGCTTACTCACATACACACCACGTGACATAATAACACACAGTAATATAATAGGGAAAAATATAAACATATATGCGAACGTAACAACTTCGTCACTTAACTAGCATTCTGGTACGCCTTTAAACATTTGAGACAGACATTCCAAGAGGTTATTAGGTATAATGTAAACTTTGGTAAGTCTTGCTGAATTACCATATGGACCGACACAAATGTATCAGTGATTTGGTTGATAGGCACACTGCTACTATTATGATGATAGCTTTTCAAGTAAACAGTCATCCAATCAACTCAGTAGGTTACCATAAAACGATTTATATGGTATCTGGCGTCTTCCCGTGGCATATCATACGAGCTAGATGAATATATTATATATTCGAAATATTATATTCTTCTTTATTCGTATATCTAGTAAATATTTAAAGGCGTAATTTATTTAAATGCTGTAAAATTAAAATTGAAATGTTTTTTTTTTTTTATTTGTGACTTATAGGTCAAATCAAAATCATTAAAATATCTGTAAAATTCCTAAAACAAACTTTCAGATGGTAATACTAAATCAACACTGGTTTGTGGTGTAGGAATATCTTTGTTTATTGCCCTGTGTTAAATATTGACTTTAACCAAAGACGTATCCATGCCTTTATCTTTTTGAGCCACTGTTTGGTATCAATCTTATAGACAAAATAAATACTTTTCAAAAGTGGAATTATCATTTTAATAAGTTATCTTTAAAATACCTTATTAATAGCCTGGTGTACATCATATGGTGTTGTATATGTTTGTATGCTGTTCATAGTACGATTTGTCTGACATGTTTACGACCGTTATATAAACCAGTAGTATCAATTGCACATAGAATCACGAGCCCGTGTGAACTTACTAAACAATATTTAAAGAATGCCGAAAGCGTTGTAGTCGACTATATATTTTCATTTCTCAACACGTTCCATTGGACGTCATATTCGAATCATAGATTATCAAGCAACTTGCTATTCGCTGCTGGAGTCGTTATAATTATTTTTATTTTGAGTTGTACAGACTTAATAAATATTTTGGCCTTCATCTATAACATGTTGTCAATAACATTATTTTCAGACTGTAACGATGGATACTACGGACCAGCTTGTACACCTTGTCCTAGTGGCTGTAGCACTGACACTTGTGACAAAACGTCAGGACATTGTGTTCGTAAGTAGTATTCATGGTTAATGATGTTAAAAAAAAAGGAAACGAAGGGGTTCAGACATTCAAGTTGACATTTGAATCCAGTCAAATTGCATAGCTTGGTAAAAAAAAAAAAAAAATGTTTTTAAATTTGTTTATAAAAAAATACCTGTTTAAATGAAAACGCAAAATGTAAATCAGTACTCTATTATCATGATCAATTGTTTGACTGGAATTTCCCGCCTTTTGTTCATCTAAATCTTTGTGATTATCGATCGGCAGATCTTTTATTCTTATGCTAAAATGCAAGCCGATGTTTTGTTATGGACATCGCCCATTTGTCAGAGACCCTTGTCTGATGGGTAAATTGAGCTTTTGATATGGCGTGATATCCTGGTATGCACTGAGAACATCAAATATTAGTAGCAAATGAGCGATGCTTGCATAACGGACCTCTTATTAAGGCAAGTTCAAAGGATAATTTGATAAGATAGTTATGATTATTTTTTTTGAATTTTAGTGTTCATATATTTTTAATTCCTTCTTTTCAGAATGTGATGCTGGTTTCCATGGCAGTTTTTGTCGCCAACCTTGCTATGTTAACTGTAAAAACAATGTTTGTAACCAGGACAACGGGCAGTGCACAGGTTAGACAAACTAAGCTTTTTCAAGAATCGATGCTCTGTTATGTGTTAGCAGAAATGGGATTGTTCATAATGTTCAAACTTTACAAATGCAGTTGACATTGAGCAGTAATACGTTCTTTTTAATTCATGAATTAAGGGTCTAACGCACCTACTCTTCGGTTTTACAGTACTTTATACCTATTAAGATATCAAGGTTTTGGCCACTAGCATCACCGATGATTCCTGAAGGAACGAAACAGCTCTATGATGCTGTGTAATTATGTCTCCCCTTGAATGAAGGGAAACATATTGTGTCAGTTCTGGTTTTTCTTCTTCTTTTGTTTTTTATGGTTCTTCTAATCGCAACTCGTTCGGGCCATCAATTTTAAACCGTTAATGATTTCTTGATGAAGCTAAAGGGATGCATGAATTACCTACATAATGTGTGCAATGCACTGGAATTAGGTCACTGTGACCTTCACTTCAAGGTCAAAGGTCAAATAGGAGCAAACTTACAGGTACCATATTTATGTATTTTGGGAAGGTGGAATCTTTCGTACTGAAATCGGGTCTTGTGCCCCACTACATACAGAGTCATTGCCTTTTGTTTATTTGTATACCGATGTTTTCCACGTCATCATAGCTGCCGACACTTTACCAAAATTGTCAAGAAAATTTAACATGAACCAGAATAATTTAAAAGTTTAATGGTTTAGATTTCACACACCTTAATCTTGATGTGACTTTTCTATTCTTCCAAATATGCATATTTGCTATTTAGGGGAGACATATGTTTTTGTTCACAGAAACAAATTTCTAGATAATTTTTGGCATTTTGTATCGATTACTCAATTTAAAGATGCAATCACCTTTGTATATATTACCCTCATCTTATATACTTTATAAAATATATCATCATCGCATTCTTATGGCCATGTGATTTGACAAGTAGGATGCTGGTAGGATGGCTTATCATTTATCAAGTTTATTCAAATAAATACGCTAGTTTTTTAAGATAACATCTATAAGATTAGTTCAGACAATAACACAATCTAATTTTTGATAACTAAAGGGCTAAGGATCATGATAAAATGACGTTTTTTATGATGGGAGACGGACACCAAAAATGGTTACCTTGTAATGATTAAGAAATTCAAAATATATATTTGATTATCAAATTAGATACACTAATTAGCCAAAACATATGAAGATTTTTTTCTCTCACTTTTCACGAATTGGGTTGCGCTTGCTAGGGCAAATCATATCAACCAAATATGTGAAAACATGTAAAAATGTTTTAAATTCCTTAGTTACTATCTGTTATTTACTTATTATTTAAAGAAGTTCTAATTTGAACAATTCCCACTTATTAGATACATTGATTAGCCAAAATAGACAAGGATTGTTTTTACACTTCACGAATTGTGTTGCACCTGGTAGGGTAAATCGTATCAACCTAATATGTAAAAAAACATGGTAAGGATGTAATATGTGTCTTATTAAGGCCTCCTTCCTTAATACTAGCAATGCCTGTCTCTCTTTTAATATTTTCACACTTAAAGTTCCATATGAAATTGAAAGAGTTTTATTAAGTTTGATGAACTCCTGTGTTGGACTTGGGAGACTATTAAATAGGTGAAAAAACATTGGTATTTCAAGTGTGATACGGCCAACCAAAGTGAGGTCTGTATACTTCCACTATCTTAAAAAAAGTAGAAGGACCCCAATGTCTTATCTATAAAATTCCATGCAATCGGATCTATGGCCTTTTCGAAACATAACAAATAGTCCAGATTTTTTTTTTCAAACATATACATTACGTCATACAAACATTTTGCGTTATTATCTGTAAACTTACCTTTTATAAAACCTGTCACACTTATTATACTAAGGAGGGTTTTCTTTAATACTATTTCTATTGCAGCCGAAGCTGTTTCATAGTCTACATTCAAAAGTGACATTGGTCTCCATTTTTAAAATAACGTTTATCTTTATTTTCTTTTTGAATACACGTAAATAAAACCTGATTCTGATATTCTGAAAGTTTCCCTGTTCTGTTTGCATAATTTATTGATATGACCAAAAATGACCCCAAGTCTTTCAAATTCACCTGACCCTTGACTTTAGCCATTTTTCATGGTTTGTAATGCCTTAGCTAAATCATTAACCCGTAAAACGCCCTCACACTTTCCTTTTTTTCTTTTTCCTGAAGTTTTACTTGATGCTGGAAGAACTATTATTATATAAATTCATTATTAAGAGTTATTAATAGAGTTGGAATCTGTAAGTCTACTAGTTACCATGTTTTGAAAAGATAAACTTCTGCTGCAAGTGTTTCTTCCTAGTTATCTAATATATCCCTATCGACTGTGATTAGTTCTGTTATAGAATTATTAAACAATGTTTCTTTTCCAAACCACCAAAACATTTTGTCGCTTTCATACCAATTCGACTTTGAACTTAGCATTAATCCTTCTATCCTATTTTTACGGATTTTTTTCAATATTTTTACTCTCAAATTGTCTATAGATGCCATAATTAGGATTTAAGTTCAATACTTTTTCTAATGTTGATATTTTAGTCCCTTAATCTTTCTCTAGTTTCCTATTTTGTTTTGCTTGTGTTATTGAATATGTGATAGTGATGGATCTTTTTTCATTTTCAAAATAGAACACTTGATCTTTATTCTAAATACTTTATCTTTCATGGAGATCACCCTCTACGTAATACTCATCTATTGTCTCTGTAATGCAGCTTTTGACCCTTTGTATATATGCAGTGTCCCCCTGAAGTGCTGTGTTGTGTTGTGTTACAAATATCCTTTCCCCTTTCAGTGATTTTAGAATTAACTAAACCATTGCCAGAGTGGTCTGTTTTATATCCCGGTATAATTTTTGAGTCTTTAGTTCGAAATAAGATGTCTTCTGAGACCAAAAAATAATCTAATCTACTCTGTTGTATAGTTATTTTTCGTCTCCATGTTACATTTCTCAATTAAGGATCAAACTGTCTCATTGAATCAACAAGTTTATTATTAACTATTAAATCTTTTTCTGTTCCTGAGCTCTTTGATTATAATCGAGTCTTATATTTTGTGTGTCCATATATTTGTCTTATACCGCATTCCAGTCACCACATAATGTTAAAGTAGAGTTATCGAATACTTTCAAAGTATTAAGTATATTTATATAAAAAGTCTGGGTAATCCTGGTTTGGTCCCTATATACTAGCTAGAGTTAGGCAATTGTTATTAATTGCAACATCCATAATGATAAATTTCACTGAATTGTCAATGATAATATCATGTATTGTACATTCAAACGTATTTCTCAGAAACATTGTCACACACGCTGATCTAGAATTAAAGTTGCTAAATATACATTTATATCCCCTTTCCCTTTCCATTTCTTTTTCTACTTTTATATCACAGTGTGTTTCTTGAAAACATATCATATCTGCCTGTTTCTGCTTGACCCAATGAAATACATATCTACTTTTAGTTTTATTAAAGTACAACCCCCTTATATTCATTGATAAATATTTCATACTACCTGTATTCACATATTTGACACCCACAGAAACCTGTCTAACGTCCCCATTCACTCCATTCATTGATTTCCGCTTGTCGTTTGAAATAATAGATATGTACACACACACAATACTGTTATTTGACATAACACTTAAATTAAGATACAAGAACATACACACAACACCATTCTTTAACATAACAATTAAAATGTTGATAATATGAACATTAAGTTCAAGAGTATGAATTTTAAGACACCACTTCGGGTTTTTGTTTTTTTTTGTTTTTTTTTAATTGTAAAGTACAATAATTCGATTCCTCTCAGACACTGCATTTATCAAATATCATTATCTGAACATGAAATGATATTCAAACGTTTCCTCCAACATCATTTCCCAAGCCCCCTGTTTGGAGCCTATAAGAAGCATCCCCGTCAAATCTAGAACACAAAGAGGTAAGAGAGAACCTCGCCATATGTCAGACCGGATATACCTTCACATTCTTTGAGCAGATTTCACGATGATTGTGTTCATTTTAAAGTATTGGTTGTTAAATGCGTTTCACATGTTTGTAGTCCAACAAAGTTAGATAGAATGCATACTAAGTAATAAACACATAGTAAATTAGGAATTAAATACCTTTGTGATGTTTAAGCTCACCTGCCTGAAGGACTAGTGAGCTTATACCATGGCGCGGCGTCTGTCGTCCGTCTGTCCTGCGTCCGTCGTCCGACTTCCTGCTGTCCGTCCGTCCGTCGTACGTCAATTTTCCTTTAAACAACTTATTCTGCAGGACGAACAGGCATAGAGCCATGATATTTGGCTGAAAGCTTCGTTCGTAAGAGCCGGACAAAGCTTAAGAACGAAAATGACCTTGACCTACTATCAAGGTCACAGGGGTCAAACGTGTAAAACACTTCAAACGACTTCTTTTGAAGAACTGAAAGGTATAAAATCATCAAAATTTGACTTGTGGCTTCCTTGAATAGAGCCTAATAAAGTTTAAGAATGAAACTGACTTTGACCTACTTTCAGGGTCACAGCGGTCAAATATGTCAAACGCTTCAAATGACTTCTTCTGAAGAACTGTAAGGTATAGAATCTTTATATTAGGCCGGAGGCTTCCTTGGTTAGAGCCCAACAAAATTTGAGAATGAAAATGACTTTGTCCTACTTTCAGGGTCACAGTGGTCAAATATGTCAAACGCTTCAAATGACTTCTTCTGAAAAACTAAAAGGTATAGAATCTTTATATTAGGCCGGAGGCTTCCTGGGATAGAGCCCGACAAAATTTTAGAATGAATGTGACCTTGACCTACTTTCAATGTCACAACGGTCAAATATGTCAAACTCTTTAAATGACTTCTTCTGAAGAACTTAGAAGTATAGAACCTTCATATTTGACTTCCTGAGATAGAGCCTGACACAGTTTGAGAATGAAAATGACCTTGACCTACTTTTAAGGTCACAGGTGTCAAATATGGTAAAAACATCAA